TGTTGACTTGACCGTTGAAATGCAAATGATCGTCGGACTTTTTTTCTCGATCAGTGACATTTGCCTCCTAACGGGGTATTCAGTGTGCAGGTGATGTCTATATGGAGGGAACGTGGTCGGGATTTTGTTGGTGCATTTGTTTAGGTTAACAAGTATCACGAAGGGCGGGCTAGCAAGGATCCTTTAAATGTTTTGAATGAACCGATAACAAGGTCAAGAGTAAAGAACATCAAGAAAGCTATACAAGGACTTGTCTAAGTTATGTGAGCCAAAAGTCTTAGTGCAACAAGGATCCACCTTTCAAAATGGGCGTAAGAGAAGAAGAATCAACCTTAGTGCTTTTGATTCAAGTTAGTGTGGAAGAAGTGGAACCGTAAAGCCATGCAAACGCATAACCATAAACCCATTGCTTGCGGAACACCCAATTTGTCACAACCTGAGGATGAACAAGCTTGCTCATCATGCATGTGCAAGCAATTATACCATGTGCACGCACGATTATTCGAGTTGCAGTTGGGATTAGTTATCTAGTTTGATTTGGACTCTAATTTTTAAGTTTATCCATTTCCTTTTTTCGATTAATTTAGAGTTCTTTTAATTTCGCCTATATAAGGCATTATTATTGTACAAACATTTAACTTTTAATTTTCTAGATTAATTTAAATTGAGGATTCATCTTCTTCTTATTCTTCATTGAATTACTAAAACTTACAAAAAAAATTCATCTTTGTAACGTTTAACCCTAAAACCCTGGCTTTTGATAAAAAAAATCATTGGGTTAAGGTTCTTCAATCTGATTTTAACTTTCTTGGGGGTGCATATATCAAATCTTGTTGTAGGTTCCAAGTTTCATCCTTCCAGAGTTCATATCAGAGATTTGGCTTTTGAATCGAGTTTTATTCTTTTTTCTTTCCATTCTATTTCTTGTGGCATCTTTTTTTTTTTCTTTTGAGTTTCATCATAATCTTAGAGTCATTCATCTCAAAATCATACCAAGCATATTCAAGAATTTATTAGTGCACATTCTATTAACTTTTTTGCACCAATGCCAATTTTTTTGGTTCCATGCCTGTTGATTACTCTATTCCTTTAAGTTAATTGCACTTGCATAAAAAAGAAGAAAAAGTATCGAAAAATTCGAGAAAATGTCGTAACCATCTTACAAATTACAAGAATTCTTCAAAATTTCAAGAAAAGCATAAATCAATTCCAAGAATTCGTCGAAAATTCAAGAAAAGCATAAACGAATTTCAAGAAATCTTTTCTTGGAATTCTTGTGGTGTTATTTCGCAAGAAACACATTCTTACTAATGTTTCGCACAGAAATCATCAATTTCATTCTACTTGTGATCTTTATTCGAGTCATTTCTCATTTCTTATCTGTTTTTCTCTAGAGTCTTGTTGATTTGAACATTGTAAAGACTGAATTCTTGGTTAAGTTTAGTTAATTTCTTAAAAGAGTTTGACAAGGAAAGCAAATAGAGGAAAAAAGGCAATAGTGGTGAGCTTATTATCGAACAAAAAGTCAATAGAATGAAACAGTTTAGTGTAAACACGTTAGATTATTTTTCCTAGTTATTAAAATTTTGTTCTTGAGTTAATGTCTAAGGGAGATTCAACATTTAGGGAGGAGAACAATCAGTTATTTATATTGAAGGCCATGTAACATCAATTTGAAGGGATGAATATGGTGTTTGGGAAATGTAGGGTTAGAATAGATAGAGAAGATATGGTGATTGCAAATTTGCGAAGGGAACAACTACAAAGAGTCCCTAGTGGTAAAGGGCAAGAGAGGCATGATCCAAACTAAAGGCCTGGATTTAATGATGATGATGATGAAGTGGAAAGTGAGAATGAGAATGAGGATGATAAAGTCTTTGTGGATTGGGCAGGATGAGATATAGAGGATAATTAAATTGATCTCGTTTATTCTTAAGTTCCCAACTCAACGATATATTTGACCAATTAAATTGATTTCACACATTTGTTAATCAAATAATCATTAAATTCACGAAAAGACATACACAATCCTATCAAGATATTTTGATGAAATATCCGACGATCAAGTTAAGTTGATAACAAGTTTTTTTACCAATATGTACTCATAAGTCGAAAACTCTTTTCGACTTAATTGATTTAATAATGGGATGAAAAATATGATCAATAATCGAAATTGACACACTTCATATCTCGTAATTGATTAGATCATACTGACGAAGGGATTATAGTTTTACGGTAAACGAACAAGCTTAATTTTGTCATACTATGTGACATTTTTTGTCATATATATATTCTCCTAACACATTTCTAGATGTTAATTTAAGATAACAAATGTAAATTAATTAATTTAGGTGAATTAATGATAAATTAAGTGCATGTTTGGCACCTACTATTCCACATTATAATGAGAAAAATAGTAATTTCTTGAAAAATGTGTGGATAAAAAAGAAGGAATTTTTTTTTAAGTTTACAAGCAATATTATTATAATGGACAATGTGTGGTTGATAAGAAGCGAAAGAAAAATGAATTAAAATTTAATGAGGAATAATGAGGGCCAAACGCGAACTAAAATAATATTTTAATTTATCTTATTTTGATTAGATCAAAATAATAATTTATATCGTTAGATATCATGATCGAAAATCTAATGGGTCACACAGAAAATTAACCAGATTAATTAATTAATTGATCACGTTTAATTAATTAGATTAATTAAATATTGGATTAGGTTAAGTTCAATTCTCTGGCCAAGCCCACTTGGATTTTTATTAATAAGTTGTTAGAATTGAGAAATTAGAACAAGTCAATTCATTATCTTGCACAAGAAAAGAGAAATCATAATTCATTCGTTTTGGTTCCCTGTGTGGATTTTCATTGAAAGCTTGATAATTGGACAATTGTGGATTACATATTGTGATTGTTCATGTTCAAGATAAGCAAATAAACTTGCAGAATTCAATAAATATATAATTTCTAATATAGTTTATTTCTAAACACAAAGATGATTCTTGGTGGGAATTGAAATATTATTTATTTTCCGTCATGTATAATTAAGTAAATTTCCAACATAATTAATATTTTTTAACATGATATCTGCTCAATCAAACGATAAATAAGCCCTTTCTGGGTGCCATTATGTAAAAAAAAAAAAAATTCCTATATATTCATTTTCATCCATACAGATTCAAATAATAAAATATTCTGTACATAAATTCAAAATTGTTTCTTACTTTTTAACCATACATTTTTCAAAGAATCACTATTCAAAATTTTATCTTACTAAAATAAAGGCTGTCGAATAGGGGCTAAATTTTGTAGAAAAATATATTTTGAAATAATGATTTTTTGGAGAATGTATGGTTAAAAAATAAGGAAAAATTTTAGCTTTACATGTGATATTATTTTGTTAAAAAATGTGTGACTAAAAATTAGAAAAAAAAAATGCATTTTAACAAAAATGGAGCTCAAATAAAGGCTAAGTAAATAAGAATAAAATCTGAATAAACGAATAAAATGCACCTATGGACCACAGCTGAAATTTATGCATATAAAAAATAGAGGAAATTACTTATTTCCAGACATTTGAAGATCCAAGTGCAAAAATCAGGTGCAAAATAGTTTTAATCAAAACTCAGGTATGAAAGTAATAATTAAATATTTATATATACAACCCTAAATCAATTTCATCTCCACCCGTTTCATTTTCTCCCTCTCCTCTCTCATATCTCCCCCCTCATGCTCGCCGCCGTCAAGGAGCATCACTGCCGGA